ATTAAATGGAAATGCTATCCAAAATAGATTTGGATCTCATTTTAACTGGATTTATGGGTTTTTACTAGGAAGCTTGTCCTGAAACTAGAAGATCTACACTGAATTTTGTTTTTACCTAGGCATTTCCCTTATAACCTAGAAAAGTAAGAAACAACATGTGGTATAACGATCCTCTTTAGAAGCTGGGTATAGAGCCCTAGTACACACATCTTGTGAAGCACAATGATTTTTATACCTCTTGTCAAACTTCCCAATCCCTCATTAGCAACATGTTTTTATTTTCTCCGATAATCAAAGTGGCATACACGTTGCCAACAATCCGGTCTTTCATTAAAGAACCAAACACATTGAAATGAACTGCCATCTTATTTGCAACAAAGTTCAAGATCATACCATCCACTTTATGCCAATAGACACTAAAAATCAAGTTGCAAAGTTCAACATCATACCATCCATTTTATGCTAATAGACACTAAAAAAACAAGTTGTAGACTTCTTTATTAAGCCCTTACATCTTGGTCATTTTTCATCTCTTATTCTAAACTAGGATTTGACATCTTCATTAAGCCTCTTCGTCTCGGTCATTTTTCATTTCTTATTCTAAACTAGGATGTGTTGATATCCACTCCAATTTGAAGAGAGGTGGGGGGGTTAAAGTTTGTTATTATTTCGTTAATTAGTTAGAGGTGAGAGGTTAAAGTCTAAGTAAGTTTGATATTATTTCGTTAACTAGTTAGAGACTAATAAGAGATTTGTTACTAGGCTACGTTAGCAGTATTCACTCACCTTGTACTCAATTGAATTAGAATTAATAATAATTCATTTCTTTTCAGTATTTTTCCTTCTCTAATTATGAAAAGAATAGCATATCGCAGTATCTCTTAACAGTCACCAGTCACCAGTACATAAATAAATCAATTAACATTTACATTTGGACCCCTCAAAACCTTAAGCCATTCAAAAACACCCAATTACTATCTGCAATACCCTAATTTTTACTCCTAAGATTTCCCACATCTCATTTGCATCTTTGCATCAAAAACAAGATCATGCTTTGGTTCCTCTATTTCCTCTCATCTTTAGGTTTATGCCTTGCAGGGATCACCGAGCATCTGTTTCTTTCTTGTTTGCTTTTATTTGTATGTTTATGTTTACTAACCTTTAATCAAAATTCAAAAATATGTTTGTTTTTTTCCTTTACTAAATCTTTTTCAAGAAGAGGTTGGAATCAAGAACATCAATCAACAGTCTCTCAGTTCGAATGAATTTCATATGAACAAAGTCAAACTTGATCTGCAAATAATTCAAAATCATTTGATCAAGAGTTTCCCAAGATTTGATTGACTATTATTCAAGAGACTTCAAGGTTCATGTGTTTATTTTCATGTCTTCTTTGATAAGCAAAAATAATCGAGCCGAGACCAAGACAGCACAACAAAAAGGCCATTCTCTCACTTTTTCACTGTGTTAATCAATTAACATTATATGGTTAATCGATCAACCAGTGCATTTTTGGCAAAAATGCAGCAAATTCAAATTATGCAGCATTTTGGCACCAATTTTCAAATATTTCATCATGAGAATATTCTAGATCACTTTATTTTAATTCTCATACCTCATCATAATTAATTCTCACCATACACCTTCAATAATCACCACTTGATCTTAATTTTGCCTCCAAATTCAAATTTTAAGCTTAACTTTGGTTCCAAACCAAATTCTGAACCACCAAAATTTCCAAGCCTAAATTCTATAAATAGAGGCTTCATTTTATTCATTCTTCAAGCTTTTAATAGCCAAATTTACCTTGTCAAATTTATTCTTGACTCTCTCAATTTTCTCCAACTACCAAATTCACCAAAGCTCTTTCTTTCTTTGAAAGTTCTTCATTGGAACTTACTAATCTTTGAGCTAAAACCTTCATCCAATCACTTTTTCATCATCAAATTCAGTAGATCAAGGCTTTGGAGTGTGGTTCTTGAAGTTGATTTGAAGCATTTTCAAATTTGAAGTGGTAAACCCTTATTCCACCATTGTTGTGCTTGATCCACCTTCCACAATGTGATTTATTGTTGATTCATATTGTTTGATCTTTGGATCTTGCAAATTGTGTTTTGTTGGTGTTATTTGTTGTTGTTTTACTTGAATTTTTATGCACAATTGCATCCTTGATCATGAGGTGTTTGAAGAAATGATTGATCAAGGATTTTGCAATTTTCAAATTGATTTTCTGTTGTTTTTACAATGTTAATCAATTAACCAAAAACAAGAACGAACTAGTTAATCAATTAACAGTTAGTTTCTGCGCCTAGAATTACAATTTTACCCTGGTTAATCTATTAACCAATTTTGCCTAGCAAACGGTTAACCGATTAACTAGTGTCTAGAATGTGGTTTTTGCTTGTTTTTTTGGACTATTTTGGTTCCATTTCTTTTTCCTTCCCTTTCCTTTTGTTCTTTGCCTTGGATTACATCTTTGTGTGGTTCAATTTGGCATTTCTTCATCTTTTTCTCATTTTCTTTTTATCGATGAAAATCTTCGATATCATTGGAACTTATTTTAAGTTATTAATGAAGATGAGATTGATACCTCTTTTCTTTTCGTGCGGTATTGCTTTCGGAGAGTGATTTACATATCACTTCTCTAGCATAAATTAGTACAAACTTTTTTATTGACTGGCCTCAGATAGTCGTGGCTTCTGCATAAGCCCGATTACGATTGCTTAACATAGTGCTAAATTGTTCCGAAATTGAAAAACCGTTGCATTTTGTAAGCGAATTATCAGTCTCCTACTCGTCCGTGCCGTAGTTTGAAATAGATTGGCTTTCTCTTGCTACCCGTGGGGGTTAGTTGGCATATCATATCATATTTTTATGTCGTAGTTTGAAATAGATTGGCTTTCTCTTGTTACCCGTGGGGGTTAGTTGGCCTATCATATCATATTTTTATGCTTTATGTTATCATATCATATCATATATTGTTTATGCTTCCGCTATTTTTCCTTTATCCACTTGAACCATTTGTTTATACTCTTACCTTTTTTCTTTTGTCCATTTGGACCAAAACCATTAATAAAGGTTTAAATCTCTAAAAAACTTGTTCTTTTAACGGTGGACTATGGTTACTATCCTTTACATTGGACATGGAATTTTGGACCTAAAATTAGGATTATGCTTGGAAGCTTGTTATGTCAAACCTTGGATTTTGGATACTTGAAGTTCTCTTTTGAAGACTTATTTTGATCAAAGCCTAATCTAAAGGAAGAATGCTTATATTTTGGAGCATACTTGTGTGGTTAGATCGTTCTTATCCTTAACTTTTATGTTTTTACTCTAGGATAATCCCTTCTTCTCCACCCCTTCTTTAATTTTCAAAATTTTCTCTCTTTTTTCAAAAACCTTATGGTTTTCAAAATTAAACCTCTTTTACAATAAAACCTTGACTTTTGTCAATTTCTTTTTCAAACTTTCTCTTCTTTAATAAATGTCAATGTTAATCACCTCTTTTTTCTTTTAAAGAGGTGATTGAAACTTCTGTGTCTTATGCACTTTTTCTTTTAAACCTTTTTCATAAGTTTAGACATGAGTCACCTCTTTAAGCAGAACTATTCGTTTGAAAATGACGACTTGTCTTTTCACTTAAAATCAACCATAAAAAACCTATTTTGTTATTTGTACTACGAACTACGAAGTTTTGATACTATATTGCACTTTGTGGGTACGTAGGCATGAGACAATAAGTCTCTCCAAACACAAAAATCTTAAAAAATACTTCTCTTCTCATCTCACCAATCTCATTTCAAACAAACCGTGTCAAACCAAAAAGCAGAGATATTTCAAAGAGTTCTTATAAAATACTATAGACGTTTCGGATGCTAACACATTTTATAAGCATAACCAATCCACTTACCCAGTCTTTGTTCATTTGTTCTTGCCTTAAAACTTGCTTAGGATTTGATCCCTCTTTTTTCTTTCTTTTTGAATGAAATAAAAGTGCGGTAGCGACTTCTGTATTTTTAAGTTAAATTAATTAATATTATACAGTCACGATTTTTGCCCCTCCACTATCCTATGTGTTTTCCTTCATCGTATTACCCAGCATCCCATTTTCAATCAATATAAAGCAATGACACGTTAAATAAGACAATTTTTGCCCCAACACTATCCTATGTGTTTTCCTTCATCGTATTACCCAGCATCCCATTTTCAATCAATATAAGCAGTGACACGTTAAATAAGACAACTGCTAAAGAGACAATTCTGCCTTATCCTTGTTCGAGTATTGGGACCCTCCAAGTAGATTCTCAATATTAATGTCTAGTAAGACAAAATAATTAGACATGAGTTAAAAGGTACAGCAGTGAACCATGAGGGGGTTGGCATTCTTATCTCCAAGACTTAATAGACAAAGGACAGCTTCTGTTAGAAAAGCCAAAAACATGATACATGGATGAGGTCTTTCCAAACCTTATCTTTGAACTCATGGTTGATGAAGTCATTTATTACTTAGAGCTACAAAAATAATGATATTAATAAAACATTACTAAAAGTACTAGAAGTACATCTTACATATCCATTTCTGTTTTGGATAATGCATTTCACATATCCTTGAATTGGAACAATACAACAAATCAGAGTTTACATAATTAGTATCATGTAAATGATGATACACATGAACATAGAGGAATCAAAAACCATCCCAACATCCAAAGACACCAAGAGAAAGAGAATGACCTTTCATTCCTAATATTACAACCCACACACGAAAATGCCACGCTTCGACATGATTGCGTGAACTTTTTGCGACAAAACCACAGGGGTGCTTCCCCGTTTTGGGGAGCATCCCGAAGAATAAACAATCAAGAATTAATTCTTAATCTAAATTGAATGTTTAATGAAACAGAGAACCTTCGTTATATGACTACATGTCAACACTATGGACAAATGACAAGAATGGAATACCATAAATAAGTCAGCAGGTCAACGAGTTTAGGTTAAATTCAAAATGTAGTGCTACTCTCACTTGCAGATATTGAGGGACCTTCGGACTTCACCAGGGCGGATCCTTGGCTACTGATGTCAAGTCCCTTAAAATGACCGAGGTGATCGCTTTGCAACATCTCTGAGATTTGGTGAGAACTGGTTTGTTGCATCTGATGAGTTGGCATGTTAGATGGGGAGTGACCGAATTGAGGAAATTGTATGTTCTGGTGACCAGAAGGACCAGAATGTTGTTGTGGCATTGAAAAGAAATTTGACCCTGCGAACTGCATCGGGTGCATTCCAAGATTATAAGATTCTGAGGGGTTCATTGCCTCTCCGGTAGCAATCTTAAGCCTCTCAACTTCCTTCATCAACGCGTCATTAAGAGCTGCATAAAATCAGAAACAAATTTCAACATCATTAATTAATTTTAACAAGATCATTTTAGAAACTATCATTTGAAAAATGTAAAACATGTATCTAGTTGTATCATTAGAAAGTGATTTAGTTGATAGTAGCTACCATCTCGAAGGTGTGCCTGTTGTTCCATGGCTTGCAGACGAAGCTTGAGGTCGGTATTTTCAGTACTCAGACCACTTGTGTCCCTCTACAAAATTCAACAAGTGATGACTAAGATTCCTATCAGCCATGAGTTTGTGCATAAAAACTGAAGTCAACAAATGGTGAAGCTCAATTGAAAACCAGTATCCATATCAGGAATTACTAAAATAATTTGTAAATTTAAATGACTATTTTGTGACATGATTGAGAAATATGTAGATTACAGTGCCAAAAAAAGAGAGAGCATTTTATGAGGAGAAATACAAGATGTGTATGTCTACAGTCCAATTACCTAAACGTGAGTGATACTTTCATTGTTAAAAACAATAACAACAAAGATAGATCTCTTATGATAATTAAGTGCATTGTTTGCGGGTGAGAAATGATTACACAAAGAGCAAAGAAAAATTATTTTGAGCAGTGTTATCAAATATCCGTTATGGCAGCACTATGGCGGATATACATGGTAGTTTTGGGGCTCGCTGCAATAGTAAATATTGGCCGATATTGCGGCTTTTTTCCACTATAATGGCATCGCAAAGTGGCCGGTATGGCGGGATTTTGGCTCTCTGCCATCGCCAACGACACTGATTTTCAGGCAATAATCAGACAAAAATCAAAAGCAGTAAAAAGGAAAGAAACTGCAGTATCATATCAAAATCTAGCATGAAATGCAGCTCCAACAAACAAAATGAGTTGTTATGTCAAAGATTAGACTAATTATTTAAGTGCTTTTATTTTGGCAAGATAAAAAATACAGATATTCTTCTGGATATAAGTTGACACCAACCTGATATAATGTCAATTGAGCAGAGAGAGTTGTGGCCTCTGTTTGAAGGGTCTGAACCTTGCGCTCAAGCTCTTGTATATAACGGGCCTTTCTCTCTTTAGAACGTGCAGCAGATTGTCTATTTGCAAGTATTCTATATGCATAACAACAACACTTATGAGTTTAATAGTTGAAATGAATCCAAAGCAATTACTGAAATGCAGTTATTGAAAATAATCCGAACCATAAGCAGCATCAATGGCATAAAATAATCTATTGAAAATGCAGTTATTCTATATATATTTAACATAGTTTTTACACAAAACAAGAAGATTAACAATGATTTTGAGATCTCAAGAATTCACACTTCACACAACCATAGCAAAATCACAATCATCAAATAACAACACCAAAATGCGAATACTAAAATTCCCATTTCAACATCAACATTCTAAAAAAGCACAGCAATAGTTCGAGATCAGATAGCATTTGTTTGTTTACCAAAACAATCATAATCAACTACTTACATTTTCAAATTTACAAATAATCATGAATCCAATAACAATGCAAAATAATTATGAATCAATAATGACAATTATATCGATTATAAAACCCGAAACTATCAATTTACTACGAAGTATGGACACTCTAAATAAGACCCTACACTAACACAGCTACATGGACAATAATTTGAAAAAATTAATATATTAAACATAATCACAAATATTGGTGCTGGTGTCCAATAGAAAACTTGATACATTATCAAATGAAGATAAATCAATAAAAATATTTATAGCAATGATCGACGAAAACCTCTTGGCACGCTTTGGATCATGAGTCCAAAGCTCGGCGAGTTTATCCGGAGGCATAGCTTTCTTAGCATCCATGATCTCTCCCAACATACTCGTCGATGTTGTACCGTCAACGGAGCAACTATGCCTATGCCTCGTTCTCGGCGTAGTAGCTTCATTCAGACTCTTCTCCCCATCGTTTTGACCGCTAGTCCCCGCTCCGTTACCGTAACCGCTTTGATCCGATCCATTCCCTCCACAATTCGAACCGTTACTACATCCTCCGAGCTTCTCCACGTCAATGTAGGTGAAGAACAGATCGTCTTCCGATCCGATCTCCTCCAGGCTAGCCGTCGAGGAGCCTCCTCCGTTCAACGGATTTGATGGAGATAGGTCCATCATTTCGTCGGGAAGGCGGAAGTTGCTCTCGGAGTGCGCTCTCCGGTGGTGAGAATGGGATTCGCCGGCGGCATCGTGTGGAGCGGCGCTGCCGCGGATGAAGGGGTTGGGAGAGGGCGTTGATGATGGGACATTGGAATTGTAGTTTGAGTTTGAAGGTGGATCTAGCAGATGTGTTGACATTCTATTCTGTTCTGTTACGCTTTTCCGATCGAGTCTCACGAAAATACGCTCAATCTCTCTCTTCTTTCTTCTTCCTCACGTTGCAACCAAACATTAACCATTGGCTTCTTTATTTTTAATCAAAATAAAAAGTATAATCTTTTTTAATAATTTAAATAATATTCTAAAGAGTAGATCGAACCGGCCAGTTCAATCAGTTGAATTAGAATCAGAGATAAATTTGGTTGAGTCAATATTTCAAATCGTTAGTGGGTCAAAATCGAAGTAAAACTGAAAAAATCGGATTGAACTGTTTAAAATCATTTGAACTAAAGAACCGGAGTCAGTTTTATAAAATCGACCGATTCAAAAAAATAATTAAATTGACCATTTTTAAAATCGATCTTTTTTTTTAAATGAAGTATATTGTATTATTTATTTTTGATATTCTATCTTATAGGTATTCTTAGTTATTTAAAATTTATTTTAGTTATTATATTTTATTATTTTAATTTTAGTTTGAATTAGTTTAACTTATTTTATTATAGTTTTTTAATTTAGTCAAATTATTTTTAAATGAAGGTTGAAATGAAGTGTAGGACTATGTTATATTATTATAGGGTAATGTTAACTTGTGCCCTTGGGGCACATGTTAAGAACTAAATTAAGAAATATAATCTTGGAAATTGTGTACAAACTTAAATTAAAGTATAAAATTAATGTTTAAATTGTTTTTTCCAATACAAATTTACTAAAAGTGGTTTCCTTGACATGTGCTCCAAGGGCACAAGTTAACATTACCCATTATTATATGTATTATCAATATTGTTGTATTAAATTTATAATGGATTTTTGAAATATTTATTTTATTGAATTGTGAACATATAATTATGTGTGACATGTCTATAAAATTTAGTTGCATAGTATTAGTTTATTTAATAAACAGTTCGACTGTAGATTTAACCAATTGAACCTTAAACCATAAGTTTTACCGATTCGATCTCTGGTCTGCATTTTAAAACATTGAATTTAATATATTTTACTATTCCCTCCAATGTCCAAGATAAATGATCAATTTTAATATAATAAAATATTTTTTTCTCAATTCTACATTTTAATTATTACTACTTTAATCATTTTTAGTATTTGATAATGGGTACTTTAATAAAAACATAATTCTTTCTCTATAATTTATTCATTTTTTTAAATATACGTGAAATAGTCTACTAAGACACTCATTGGAGATGGAGGAAGTATAGTTTATTTATGAAGAAAAAATAAATTATATGGTTAAAAAAAATTAGGGGATTACTTTATCTACCCTAGAGTTCTAGTTCACCACGGTGAAAAATCATAAATATCTCTAGATTTTGAAGATGTAGAGGGTGAACGGTACTTGAGTTTCACAACTCTTCGACTGTTTGAGTATTATATGAGACTCTATAATATGGATTTTAGATCTACAAAAAAGGTGTACTTTGTGGCCCTAAATTCAAGTGAAACATTTACTCCATTGAAGTAGACCAGTGTGACAGGTCAATATATGATCATTCTGGTATGATGTGATATTCTTAAAAAGATGAGATTAGAGACACATACTTATACCTATTTTAAATCAGTATGGATCTTAGAAACTCAATCATGTTGTAGAAGATATCCCGGATATGCATTTCTTGACACACCCTATTTTTTCCAAAATAAGGGTTTATACGGAGATGCATCTCCGAATTATCGCCTCCTGTTTTATAGTTTTTGAAATTAAAATTGGGTTATTCCTGAAGTGTATCTCCGAAATCACCCAACTGACCCACTGTTCATACAAAATCTGTTATATGCAAGACAAAGATGTTAATGACTAAAACATATATACACAATATTTTAAAAACTAAAAATCATCAAAATATGTGTATATCGTACCTCGAAAAATACGATTCTTCGCGATGGTCGAGGAAAAATAGCTCGAACAGAGTCGCCGATGAACTTGATTTATTCTACTGAAGGAAAAGGAAAATATCGATAAAACCTTTAAAAAAGAAAATAGTCGTCGCAACCAAATTCAGGTTCAGGAGTCGATTACGCAAGGGGAAGGTATTAGCACCCCTCACATTCGTTGTACTCAATTATGAAAATATGTTTGATTTGATTTAATTATGAAAAATGTTTTACGGTGAAATAGATTATAAGATTTTTAAGAGATAACAATAGTTTGACTAATCGAGTAAGGGAACTCGTACCCAAACAATTGAGGAGAGGAATCGAAGGCTCGAGTACATCCCACTTTTCACCTTTAACGAAATGGTATTTAAGTATAGGTCAAGTGTTTTGATAAACGGCGAATACTTGAATGGTCGAGTAAGGCAACTCGTATCCATGTATTGAAGAAGGGAATAGAAGGCTTTAGATCACTTCTTTTCGTTCAATTAATTGTGAAAATATCTTGAATTTGATCGGGTTTAGAAGTTCTTTAGATATGATAATTTTTTTACTAATCGAGTAAGGGAACTCGTACCCAAACAATCGAGGAGAGGAATCCAAGGCTCGAGACCATATTATTTTTCATCTTTAATGAAATGGTATTTAAATATGATTAAGTATCTTAACTTGATTTGGATAAAATACTCGATGTTGGTCGATGTTTGAATTTGCGCTTGAAATGTCGTAGGGGTTTGGAAGTGATTCGAGAAAAAGTCGCTTGGCGTTGGACCAAAGTGTTAGTGCTTTGGAAAAAAACGCAATTACAAATTAAAGTTACTACTTAACTAACCATCCATCTAAACGAGTACGAACAATCAACTAAGGATAATTAATAAGCAAAATAAAACACAAGTGCATGGATATGTGAAAAACATTAATATGAACAAATATAACAAGAAAGCTAAAAATAAGACAAAATCCATTGAATAAAATATAAATAAATAAATTAACTATGCTAACAATAATTAACTGTCGCACCCTAATTTTTGACTTTAAGATCCCACCTCCTTGTGTCTTCGCTTGTTTTATTTTACTTTTGCGTGCGACTAACTAGCTTGTGCAGGTGCAGTAATATCAGGTGTGGATCCCTACAGTCAAATGTTTCAAAGTGTAACCATGGATTATAGAGATCTTGGAATCATTTTATTGGTCGTTTCTTCAAGGTGCTCAAGAGTTTCATTATTCGACTTTGTCATCACGCGTGAGGAAGGCGGTTCGTTATCTCAAACTTATCTGAAGATGTCCATACCAATTAATATTTCAATGCAAGGCCACCTTACGAGTGCAATTTTCTCTCAATGCTCACAAGTTGGATTCATGATTCCACTATAGAAGTTCAAACTAGAGGATTCATATTTCTACACAAAGACTTTGAAATCACCAAGCATTTTCTTTTAGGATCGGGGGTCTTTCGTCTTTTCTCACGGAGGTATGTGTGCTAGGATTGATTTTAAAAGTAATGCAAGGGCCATTTTAACCTTCAATTCTTGGGTCACCATAAATCCCAACAATATCTCCATTTAATAAAGGAAGGGCATGGCACATAATTATTAGGGAGGAGGCAACCTCACTGTTGTTAGTTTATATGTTCAAAACCTGTGATTTACATCCAATATGTTTACATGACGTTTGAACTACAATTAAAAAAGGAACATTACAATGTTACAGCATCCGATACTGCGGTAAATTACAAAGGACCACTAGCAGTCATTAATTTCTCTACAAAGACTTTGGTGGGAGACACAATGGCTATGAACACAGAGAACCTGCCGTGACAGCATGTGATGGCTACCTATTGAACCAAATACCGCCTGCGTTAATTCATCGTAGCTCCCTTTGCGATACCGCGATACGGCTTATTGCTGACTTACGGGGAATAGCCATGAAAAGCACTAGTTGTTGTTGTTAATCAAATCTCAAAAGGGTTCTCCATCGTGGTATAACTGGCTGTAACACCAATTCCTTTCGCTGCATAATTTCTTTCCGGACTTGATCTCAACACAGACCGTGAACCGAAACCTGCCACAATAAACGTAGATCAGAATCAGAAAGTACGTAATGTTGTGCTTATTACTGTCCAGAATTAGAATTTAAGAGTGGCAAAGCTTCCCTGGATAATCCGAGCATTACCGCCACCATCCTCTAAGCAACATCATTTGGCCTGCAAAAGTTTGAATATAATGTTAAAACGCTATGACCACATAGTAACGTCTCAAACACCAAGAAATGTTACCGCATTGGCATACCAGTTGCCGGCCTATTTCGATTCTGCCCATAGCTGTCATTGGCAAAGCAATGTTCTGTAGAGGTTTGATTTGAATAGGTGAAACCCACCGTTGCAAATAGAAGAAGACGAATCTGCCTTTTGCTCACCAAATCCTGTAAACAATAAAAAATGACATCAATAGCTTTCCATATCGGCGAAGCATGTTCAAACCGCTGGCTTGCGAAAACAGGAAAGGAAAGAATTAGGAATTTAAAGCATAATCTAACATGGTGATTCAAAAATGGAAAGATTCAAAGGGAAAATCAAGGACATTTTCAGTATGTAATCAGGCATGTCGGTACGAAAATAGAAGTTTCCTATCACATAATAAAACCAAATCAACAGGAATTCATTGGTCATGAATGAATGCGCAAGGTTTCTGAGCCTATAAATCAAACCACAAACAGAAGGCAAAAAGGACACACAGTAATCCATACACAAACAGATCCAAAAATACATAAAAAATCTAAAAAACCAAAATCGTAAAAAAGGGAAAATGAAGAGCTTATCTCTGAGTTTTCTTCGGTCGCCGCCGCCATGAGTCACCGGCCTTATTGCCGCGAATAGCCATCCATCTTCGCGAAACCCTTATTGCCATAACCCTTTACCCTTTATACTTCGCCGGAGATCATCTTCCACCGCGAATTTTAAAACCCTCGCGCCGTTTCCTAAACCGTCTTTGACAACTACCCTAACCTGCAAAACCCATTGTAAAATGTGAGTATCGTTACTAATATTTGTTCTCTTGTTTTGTTGATGCAGGAAATAGGAAATAGAAGAC